GTGCTATGGGCTGTGAGGGCCACCCAGGCCTCTGTCACATCTCTGCTTGCTTGTGCCGCCGATCACAGGACACAACTGCTGTCAGCCATGGCTGCAGGACTCACGCGGCCCCTTTACTGAGTCAGGTAAGAGCATGAGGACAAGGCTCACCGATGACGCAAGCTCAGGTGTGACACACAGCTCAGCTCCATGCCGAGAGTAAGCTGGAAAGTGGGAAGACTGGGCCCTTCCACCCGACTGTGAGGGGACCATCGGACACACTGGCGGACATCCTACAGGACGACCTCTTTGACTCTCCCAAAAAGTCCCTCTTGAGAGGACTAACCCTCCAAGGACACCCCCGCTGAGGGGCGGCAGTGGCAGACGACGCCCCATGTGTATGAGCACCTCTGGGCCATCAGCAAAAGTGAACACCAGTGGTGGCCTTCAGCTGCTAAGCACACAGTTCTTGCAACTTTTCAGAGAGTCTGTGATTTTGCAAAATGTAGGGCTGGGAGGTGTTTCCGAAGAACTGAAAGCATGGCCGCTTTCGGCCGCCAAACGCCCCCGCCGCACTCACCGGCGGAGTTGATGGCGTGCCTCAGGACGTGCAGGGTGCCCATGCGGCTCCTCTCCGTGCTGCTGTCCAGCCGGGGCAGCAGGAAGGCCAGCAGGCGGTCAGGTGAGTAGCGTGCTGCAGGGTGGGCGTGTCACAAGCTGTGAGGACCTGTCTGGACTCCCTTGCTGCCTGCGCCCCCAATCCCGGCCAGGAGGGTGCACGCTTGGCCGGTGACAGGACCGCGGAGCCACACGCAGGCCCAGGCAGCGGTGGACCAAGAAGGCTCATCACGCCAACCCCCGCAGCACCGCACACAGGGAGGGCCTCGGCGCAGGTGCTCATCCAGCGGGCGCTCACCCAGCGGGCGCTCACCCAGCGGGCACTCACCCAGCACGGTGAAACAGCGCAGCACCTCCTTCTGGTTGCTCATCACCAGGGGGCTCGTCGACTCCACGGGCACGCAGATCTGCGGCAGGGGGCAGCGGACTGGTCAGGGGGGTGGCGCCTCTGCCCAGGGGCTGCGCTGTCTACAGGTGCAGGACGCACACACTGCCCAGCCCTCCCGGCCTCCTCAACAGGCGCGTCCAGGTGCGGGGTGCCAGCCGGCCTCACCTGGGCAGAAGGAACGCGCCCTGCATGGACATGGACGCGCCAGGAGGGGACCCGCTCACAGGGCGCTTCTAACTGCCCTCACATAGGCAGCCAGGACAAGCTCGTTGTCAGAGAAAAACTGCCACCTCCGCACCCCTGGGCACGCACCCTTGGGCACAGAAAGCACAGAAACCAAGGTGCCCACAGTCCATTCTTCAAACTGTGGGGAAAAGCTGCATTGGTAAAATATAAACCGTGAGTCTCTGGGCTCCGCTGCGCCTCGGCCGGTGACCTTGAAGGTACCTCCCGCGCACCTGGGGGGACTCCAGATGACGTCATAGACCACTCACCCCTCAGGGTCACGACAAAAGATCCCAGCAGGCCTCTGCACAAAGGGCTCTCAGGCAGCTCTGCCATGCAGCCCATCCCAGGAATCCGTGCAGCCCATCCCAGGAATCCGAAGAGGTGACCCACAGTGCAGGGTGAGTCCCCGACCATGAGCCCTCCCAGCCTGCACCCCCAGTTCTCAGAGCTGCTGGGAACCAAGAGGGGGCGGGCCAGCGGGGGGCTCTGCTCCATCACCCCGCAGCTCCTCCTCGCTTCCTCGGTAAAGACCTGCTCTGGTCATAAAGGCACCACAACCAACGGGCCGTCAGAAACATGGCAGTGAGAGATGTCCCCAGATCTCTCCCCGTGAAACAACAATAAGCTGAACATCTAAAACTCAACAAAAAAACACCGAGACTGCGCACCAGCACCTCTGAGCGTGGGATCTGCACATAAGAGCTACCACAGTGGCCAGGACATGGAAGCAACCAAACGGTCCTATGACAGATGATGGGCTAAAGAAGCTGTGGTACATGTATACAATGGAATATTACTCAGCCATAAGAAGAGATGAAATACTGCCAATTGTAACAATGTGGATGGACCTCGGGATAATCATGCTAAGCGAAATAAGCTAGACAGAAAAAGTTGAAAATCACATGATACCACTTATATGGGGGATATAAACCTAAAAGCAAAAAAAATGAACAGGACAAATAGACTAGTGGTGATCAGAGGGAAGGGGGAAGGTAGACAGGGTGAAGGGGGTCAAATGTGTGGTGACAAAGAAATCTAACTACGGGAGGTGAACACACAGTGTAAATATATACACATATCACTTATATGTGGGATATAAACCTAAAAGCAACGAATGAACAGGACAAACAGAGACTCATGGACATGGACAATGGACTAGTGGTTACCAGGGGATAGGGGGAGGGAGGAGGTAGACGTGGTAAAGGGGGTCAAATATGTGGTGACAGAAAAAAATCTAACTATGAGAGGTGAACACACCGTGTAAATATGCATATGCCTTACTGTTAAAGTGTACAGCTCAAACACTGGATTTCATTAACTGGTGTCACCATTAAATGAATGAATGAATGAATGAATAAAGGAATACAGGCCCCCCAGCCTTCTGCATGCTCAGTTTTACGTCGCTCGCTCTGGGGAAGCCAGCGCCACGTCGCAGGACACTCAAGCAGCCACATAGAGAGAGCCAGTGGCAGGAATCCCGGCCTCCCGCCCACAGCCAGGGGAGGCAACCCCGAGAAAGCAGAGCCTCTAGCCCAATCCAGCCCCTAGGTGGTGCGGACCCCAGCTTCTCCCGGGTTCCCGCCCTGCCATGACTGCGAGATGATAAAGACTATTGCAAGGTGCTATGTACTGGAGTAGATGGTTGCACAACAGACAACTAAGGTAACTGA